ATCAATATTAATGCATAATTAATATTACGCCTTAATCTTGATTGAACCCTTCGGGTCGCACCCCGATCGAATAACCGATCCGAATCGACGAATCAATCCGAAGGATTAGATGAGTCATTAGAGTATTACGAACATCGGATATCGAGCTTAGAGCGTCGAGACCGAGCATCGCAAGTCGAGTCGAATTAAGAATTCAACGAGACGTGGAATTAAGAAAGCGACAAGTTCGAGCCAAGTCGTAGCCTCGCATTGACCTAGCCATGCGATTTTAGGCTAGGCGAGGTCACCATCCCATGCATGCCTAGCATCGCCTAGCACACGCACATCGCATGGCCCAAGCATTGCATGTTGTGTGCCATGCGTGCGTGCGTGTTGTGGCTGTGCAAGCATGGCTTGGCGTGCATGCTAGCATAGCAGCACCAGCCATCGCAATATGCTAGGCATGGCCAAGCACGGCCGGCAAGCATCAGAAGCATGGTGCCTTGCGTGCTTGCTAGCATGCTAGGCCAAGCACCCAGCCTATCGCTAGCACGCAGCATCACAAGGCTGGGCCTTGCTAGCACGAAGCATCGCACTTGCTAGCAGCGTGATGTGTGTGCGAGTGCTAGGATATGCGTGCTTGCGAGATGATCAGCGCCTAGCACTAGCAGCTCTTGCTAGGCAGCGCCCAGCATACGCTAGGCAATAACAGTAGCCCGAATGGCATGCGTGGCTTGCTGGCTGTGCACATGCTTGTGCTGGCTGGGTTATTAGCACAGCCAAGGCACTAGGCGCCAGTTGGGTTGCTTTGGGAGCTAAGGCTGGCTGGCTGCCAGCTGTCCCTATGATAAGGAACGAAATGTCGTCGTCAATACACTTTCTTATCAAATTAATCCTAGATTACCTAAATGAGTATAGAGGCAAGCAAGGGTCGAGATCCACGGAGAAACGGGAGTTTGCAACGCTAAGTGCCAACAATAGAGTTTTAAAAGGGGTCTATATGAATAAGAGTGGTGGAAGAAAAGACAATAAATAAACTAAGGCTACCAAAATTACTCTAACAATTAACACAGACTAACAAGTATTGGAAACTATGAGATTAAAAACGCTAGGGGGATCGGGGAACATCAAACTTGGAGATTAAGAGCTAAACACATAGATAATCAAGGATTCGCAACCAAGGGAGCAAGGATCCTACTTAACACAATTCATTCCCATGCAATTGATTAAGCAATGTATAAACCACGATCTATCCTAACATGATCACTCCCGCGCATCAATTAGGACATGTAATAATATAGTCAATGGTGCACATCATCAATCATATAACAATAAGATCAAGTATTTAATCAAATAGAAACCGAGTCATCCATTCCCCTTCCCCTAGCTAAAAGTCTAGCCTAGGAGAGAGAAACTACTCATATCAACAATACCCAAAATATTGGCCATAATCAAAATCATCAACATAACAATCAAAAATACTTGAAATATGTAAATAAACCAAAATAAAAGGGATAAAAATAGAAAGAGCTCACAAAGCTTCAATCTTGTATTGAAATAAGAAAATGGGTCTTTGAACCTTCAATGGCGAACCATCAAAAATCCAATAGATTGCTCCAACATTGATTACAAGGATGATCAAAGCACAAATCTAGATTAAAGATTAAAGTTTGGGTGATAAAAGACTAAGAATCTGAATTTTCTCTCTCTAAAACTTATACAAGCATCAATGGAGGCTATTCTCTCTCTAGAAATGTTCTAAGCATATTACCATAAATGGAATAGCTGCCTTCCTTCCCTTTTCAAATCAGCTTTTAAGTAAGGAAATAAAAACGGGCTGGGCTGACGGCGTGCGCGCCCGCTACAGTTCTTTGCGCGCTCGCGCAGGATGATGTGCGCGCCCTCCACTAAAGTGTGTGCGCCCGCGAACTTCCATGTGCGCGCCCTCTACTAATACATGCGCGCCTGCGAAGTATACTGCGCGCCCTCTACTGAGCGCGCTTGACATCTACGGAAAGTTGCCATCTTTCTTCAAGAGTTCAAGCTAATCTGCGCGCCCTCTCCAAGAAACATCGCGCCCGCGCAGGATGAGTATCGCGCCCTCTCCAGGAATCATCGCGCCCGCGCAGGATGGGTAGCGCTTTACATCCTGATTTGTCCTTGAATGCGCGCCCTCTCCCTTGGGTTGCGCGCCCGCGCAGAGCGGGAGAGAGGGCTCTCCTGAGCGCACAGCCTGATTAAAGCTCCTCACTTGATTTGCTATTGAAACCGGCTCTCGAAACTATCCCGAACTTTCTTCTACTTCACGTATCGATTGGTTTACCTGCAAAACACAGGAAAACACCCAAAAACATTACGAAAAAGGTAAAGTAGAGGGGAAGTACGAGGGAGATAGCATTGTTGTGCAATATGTGGAGAAATGCGGTAAAATAGGGCTAAACAAGCGATAAATGGAGGGAAATGATAGGAAAAAGGATCCCGATTAGTGGCATAAAAGCCACTTATCACCCTAGGACAGCTCACGGTCAAGGAGGGGACCAAAGGGGTTGGTGCTTGGCTTGGGGAGCAAGGTGAGTTGGTCCCCCCCTTTGGTGGTCCTCACATACTCTCTCCATCCTTGTGGCAGTTGAAAATTGTTAATTGCATCGCATTTTTATTTTGTTTTGATTAAAATAAAATAGAGGAAAATGCAAATCTCTCACATTGATGGAGAAAGGAGATCAAGTCTCCATTCCCTATAAATACCCTAGTTTTGGGTTTGGGAAAAATCACTTGAGTTGAACTCAAAAAGGCATCTCCTTGAAAAGTGAGTAAACCTTTAAGTTCGTAATACTCTAGTTTTGTTTGGTAAAATCCCGATTAACCTTCGAGATTAAGACCATTCGGGTCGGGTCGAGGGTGCGAGCCCTAAGAGGCCGTCGCACTTGCGAGCTCGAGCTTTGAAATAAGAGCTCGTGAATCGAGCGAAGCACGCGTCAAGGGTAAGAATGTCTTTTCCCTTTCTCTCTCTTATGTTGTTAATTATGTGATTGCATGTTTAGTTGCTTTAATCAGTGAGCGGGTCTTAGACTGGTTTCTCTTCCGTGTATCGTTAAACGCTACAAAACCCAACAACACCATGCATGTGAAGGACACATTTAGCATTAAATTGGTCGCGTAAGGTCCATAATCAGTTAAAAACATATACTTCGTATGTATTGTTTTATGTACATTAAAGTGATTAATGTCGTGATCAACGTAATATTATTATTTTGACCATTGGTCGAATTTTGGATGATTACCTATACTTGGGGCTGGTGTATGCAAATTTGCGTACGCTAGGGTGTGGGTATTAGTAATCGGACACAAAAAGATTTCAACTTCGCAACAACGCTAGGGTGCCTAATGCCAAAAATATGCACTTCGCAATTAGCTAGGCTTTGGGCTTCTGAATATAGTAAAAGGCTTTTTTTTTTTTTTTTTTCTTTTTTGGTTTGTTTTGTTTGAAAGAGAATAAAAATATATTTGTGGGCTTGATCATGAATTTGGATAAAAAAACTGCATGGCTAATTATGGGCTTCTTGGCCCGTATTTTACAAGATCCTATGGGTATATTTTTATCTAGTATTTTTTTTAAGGATATTTTTATACAGTCAATAACATAATATTAAAATAGACACCAGGAATGACATGTGTCACTTCCTGATGCTGTTTTTTTCCTCCAAAACCCCCCTTCTTTTAGCAATAATCTTTATTTTTAGAATATATATATGTATAATACAATTATAACAATATATTATTTAATTTTATATCTAATATTTATATTAATTGTATTCCTTTTTATTTCGTGTCCTATTTACTTAAAATACTTAAACCAAGATTTTGAGATCTTTTAATTAAGGGAGAATAAACTATAATTTAGAAGGTTGATATATGATGGAGAATATAAACTAACGGAGCCAAAAATATGATATTAACATTTATATTACCCTGTCAAAAAAAAAACAAAAAAAATTATATTACCATTATATAATTCTACAATAGTGGATGAAAAATAAATTAAAAAAAAATCATTTCTATTCATGGCTTTCTTTTGAAATCTTATGAAATAATAATAATTAAGTTATTTTTCTGTTAATAATTTTACCAACTTATAACTTTTTTTTTTCCTTAAAAAATCTATTAATTATTAATAAAACAGGTTATGCTTACATTGATAATTTTGGACATATGTCGCTATCAATAAAAAAAAATTCCGCCAATATAATATATGATGTTAGCTTTAAGGGTTTTTTTTAATCAAATTAATTCATTAATAAAAAGTCATACAACATATAATTTTATTGGGAATAACATGCATCATTAATGTAATATAATGTATATTATTTTTAAATATTTTCAACTAATTAATCAAAACTAATTTTTAATTTTTTTTTCTCAATTGTGGTTTTAATAATTTTTGCCTTATCATTTTATCTTTCTTATACGCATTGCATTTGTTTATTCTATACGAGTTGCTTCATTTTTATATTATACTCCTCCGTCAAATAATACTTGGGACGTTGTGGTCCATTTAAAACATTTGTTTATTACATAAAAGATTCTTTTTTATATTTTTATATTGCAAGATTACAAAAAGTGCGGTGAGAGAGGGGTAGGTGAGGAGAGAAAAATGTAGGAAAATAATTTTTTTTTTATTAGTGGTCTCATTCCATATTTAATAACGTGTCAAGTATTGTGGGACGGACGAAAATGAAAACTGTGTCAAGTATTAAGGGACAGTGGGAGTATTATAAATTAATAATGGGAAAAAATATTATTACTACTGTGTATCACACGGACACTAATCTAGTATTTCACTATTTCTGAGTTTGAAAATTGTAAGCTTACTACTAGAGAGTTGTAGTAAAATAGGTTTGGGCCTTCGGGTTTGGGCAAATATACTTGATTATAAATTCCAAACAAAAGGAATTAGGTGTATACTGTATTTATCAAAATCAAATGTGGCTTGATCTCTTATCTTTCTTAGATCAAATATTATACTTGTGTTGATCAACACGTCTATGAATATACTTCATTATAGCTGGAATAAATAGCAAATCTATAAAGTTAGATCCATTACTTAATTATTTGATTGTTTACAAAATGTTACATTGAGATTCTTTTTGTTTGCGATGTAGTTCCATCTAAATCGATCATCCCAAAATAACATTATTATTATAACATTTGGCTATAAATACATGTACAAAAAAATTAAAAATTTGATCTTATTATACCAACATATACATATCTTAGAAAGCAATACAAAAGAGCTACTAGCAAATCTGCATATGTAGCGATTATTCAATGCTAAAAAAAAAATTGAAGGATAAGTGTGAAGTTGTGAGCACATGTACCGTACCATGTTGCTTAATTAGTTATAGGAACACTATGAAGCATGACAGTTTCCACGGTAAGACCAGGCCCGAACCCGAACAAGACACCCCAATCTAGGCCTTCTCCGGTGGTAGTCTTACCTTCTTTCAATGACCTATTCCTCATCTCATCCAATATAAACAACACACAAGCACTAGACATGTTTCCAAACTCGCTTAGTACATGCCTAGTATTCCTGAGTTTATCTTGCTTGAGTTCGAGTTTGGATTCAACTTGGTCTAGTATTGCAGGACCACCAGGGTGTGCCACCCAAAAGATCGAGTTCCAATCCTCGATCCCTATTGGTTTGAATGCCTCAACTAGGGCTTTCTCAATGTTCTTAGAGATCAGTCCAGGGACATCCTTGAGTAGATGGAAGGCTAACCCTACTTCACGCAAGTGTCCGTCGATGGCTCCCTCAGAGTCAGGGAGTATAGTCTGAGCAGCCCAAATAAGCTGAAAGATGGGCCGCTCGATGGTCTCATCAAGGTCAGCACCCACAATAACAGCACCGGCTCCATCGCCAAAGAGTGCTTGGCCTATCATGGAGTCCAAGTGGGTTTCCGTAGGCCCACGGAAACAAATGACAGTGATCTCAGCACAAACCACCAGCACACGAGCTCCACGGTTGTTCTCTGCAATGTCTTTTGCAAGGCGGAGGACTGTACCACCAGCATAGCAACCCTGCTGGTAGAGCATGAAGCGCTTGACCGAGGGTCGGAGGCCTAGAAGTTTTGTAAGCTGGTAATCAGCCCCGGGCATATCAACACCGGAGGTGGTGCAGAAAATGACATGGGTGATCTTGGACCGCGGTTGTCCCCACTCTTTGATGGCCTTAATCGCTGCCTCTTTTCCGAGTTTAGGCACCTCGGTTGCGAGAATGTCTTGGCGAGTGTTTAAGGATGAGGCATTGTAATCACACATGTGTGGGTTCTCTTTCAATAATTCTTCAGTTACGTGCATGTACCGCTTCTTGATCATTGACCTTTCGCCTGTAGACATCAATTCAGCATTTCATAATATGACAAATTCATATATGCAATGCCCTTGATTAATAAAGGTGCACAATTTTATTTTATTTATTAATTTATTTATGTTAATTTGAGTTATTTTTAGACCATTGATGGAGAAATTGTTAAAATTCTCAAAATTATTTTGATTAAATGTTGTTTAGAATAAGAAGAAAGAGAAGATACATATTTCGTAGGAATTAACAGTACAACGTATGAGTGTATTGAAGACGTACACATGCGCTTAAACTTCTTCTTGAGATCAGTCATATGCTCACTCTCGGTAACACGGAAGTAGAAGTCAGGGTACTCCGCCTGGTACATTTCATTTGGAGGATTGGCGGTTCCGATGGATAGGATGGTTGCTGGACCATCGGCTCTTTGGGCATCACGGATTTCTTGAACTGATGCCATTGCTTAAATAATATAAGTAGGTAGTCAAATTTTCAATAAATGTAAGAGAAAGTATGAGAGACAAAAAGAAACTTTGATCTTCTACTACTTAAAAGTTGAATAACGATAGGAGTTTGTGTGAAGTGGAGGTTGAAAGTAAGAGCTTTATATAAGGCCAAGTTAATAGGCCAATTATTGTTAAATCATTATTTTCGTAAAAGGGTGACTATATAATATTTGTTAAATGATGGAAATGGTTAGCTATAATTAAATTAACTTTATAACTAAGATGGTTAGAATTGATTAATACGAAAATTTGAGATGTTTTAATAATAATTATTCTACAATGGAGTGCCACCAACTATTATTTAATTCTTGTATCATTTTGGTCCTAGATTGACTAAGATATTCCAAATACGAATTATGAGCTTGGGCTACTAAATTTAAATTTTTATTAATTTTTTTTTTTCACGTTACTTTAAAATTAATGTCCCGTCTTCTATGACTTGTTTTTTGGGCTTTAATACTAGTGATGTACAATGGTCTATGGACAACCTAGTAAACATTGAATATAAACCTATCCGACAGTTTTTTGGTCTTTTAAATAGACTTGATTTATATTAATTTATTATGGATCAATAATATTAAGAACGCTATGGTCGTTCTGTTAATAAAAAAAAAGTCACTATGTTAATATAAAGGTTATTATGTTAAAATAAAAGTTATTTTGTTATTATAAAAGTCATAAAAGGATTTTCTTAGTGAAATTTTTAATATCATGGTCAATATGAAAAATAAAGGTCACTATGTTAAAATTAGGGATACTATGTTCAACATAAAGTCAGATGACACTTATATAATTTAGTATCACAATAATACATGTCACACAAGTTTTAATTAAGGGTATTATGTTTAGGGTTACTATGTTCAACATGATGTTATAGCTATGCGTGTATGGACCTTAGGTCCACAATAATATTATTGTGAACCAGGTTTACACAAATTTTTTTGTTATGATAAAATTTATCTAAATCTGATTATCTATATTTAATAACCTGATTTAAAACGCAATTTTAATAAAAATTGTGCCTTTATATTATTGAATTGTCTTAAACATGTTCTAAAAAAAGCAAGCAAAATCAATAACGATTCTATATATATCGTACTTTTTTTATTTGTTTATTTTTACACGATAAGATACGGAGGGTGTCCCTCCTATCATAGAAGGGGTGGGATGAGGATCAAACCAACGTTACTCATGGAAAAGCTCCATGATCCTATATATATCACCAAAACTCAAATCGTTTATACATAAGCGGACGTAATAAAGAGTCATACTTTCAAATCTCTATTTTTGGGGCTAATCATTGCATTATGTCTACTAATGGATAATTATATAGTAATTGTGCAATAAAAAAAATGCACAAAAATACGACTCATTAACTCTCTTTGTATTTTTTTAGTGTTATAGTTTGACCGGCATAAGTTTTAGGCAATTTAATTTATTTAAATAAACTAAGAGGTAAATAACTAAGTAGGGTAGTTGGAGTATTAAAACATTATAAAAAAAAGATAGTGGGATTAATAATTTATTGAAAAGTAATGAATGTGATAGGAAGGAAATAATAATAATAAAAAAATAGTAGTGGGGTTTGGGTGGGAACCATAAGAAAAGAAAGGTATAATATCAATATGTTTAGTTATTTATAAAGGTTAATTGTCTTTTTTTTCCTTTTTTTCTTTTTAAACTCCTAACAATATTTTATGGACATATCCTTAAAAATATTTGTTATTTACTAAATTTGTGACCTAGGACCTAACAAAAAGAACTCTTTGGACATAACTAGCTATGACGCGTACGTTAGCCGCCCTAATATTTTCAAAGATACTAGCTAGTTGTGAAAAGTCATGACACAACACACAAGTTCCTTTGTGCAAGAGTGTCGGCCTTAATATTACTCCCTGTGTCCCTATTTTTTTTTATTCCTTCTAACTTTTCACGGTATCCAAGACGTATCTTAAAACGTTTATAACTTCATTTTTGTATGCGTAAAAATTATAAAAAAAAAATTTAATAAATTATGCAATGAGACAAATCCAACAAGACCCCAATTGGCTATACTATCAATTACAAATTAACTAGGGCGGCTAACGCACGCGATGTGCGCTATAGCTAGCCATGTTTGGGAGCTATTTCGGTTCAACCTTATGTCACAAATTTAGTTGTTGAAAACATTAATGAGGGAAAATATGTAAACAAATTTTTAAGGGTATAAATGTACGTACACTATTTTAAAGAGTTTTACAAAAAGGCAATTAACATTAATGAGGAAAAATAAGTAAATATACATTTTAAAGGACATAATTATCCACACCTTATTCATAAGAGTTTTCTTATACTTTTTATAAGAAGAGATAGGGATAAGAATTTACAATCTAAGATTTTAAAGCTTTGACCCAATTACTTGAAATGAGGTAAAAAAATAGGAAAAAAGAGAGTAAGATTTTAGCTATAAACAATTTCAAGTCTTGCTAATATTAGATGAATTTCTATGATAAAATTATTATTTTACCAAATTACCCTCATACACTAGTGTTTATCTGTAGGGAATTTTTCAACTCGAGCCCTATTGTGGTTCATGCTTTTAGGCATGGCGGCGTTCCATGGAAAAGAATCTATAGAAAAAGGGTCATCAATAAGTTTTAGGAACTTGTAAATCGTTCCCGGGTGTGAAAGTTACACCCCATTCACGATCACGGAGATCGCTAACTCCATAGTGGTCTGGAACCATGACTGGATGTTTGGGGATGATGGTACGAATCCAACCTAAAAGAGATTGAACCCGCCCTAAATAGGCCTCTACTCAATTCTTATGATATTCATGTGCGCTTTTCGATCAACATACATACATCAAGTTAATCCTTAACCTGTTTAATTTACTTTGGTTGATTTTTAATGCACAATCAAATTTATTAGTGCTGATCAGTTGAATTAAGATCATATTAAGCCTAATTAAATCAAATTATAAATTATCTTATTAGGCATGATTTCAAATACAAATTCCCTTTAAACCTGCAAAAAGGGGCGTGATCAAGCAATAACAATAAATCATGAATAATCAAGCAATATATGATTAATATAACAACCATCATCATAAGAACATCATCAAAACATCATTAGTAGTAGGATCCTAGGCATGAAACTAAACGGATTAATAACAAATTCTGGCATGTCACTAATAACAAGATCAAAGTGTTATCCTAAACATGATACTAGAAATCAAAATTACATTCCTAACATGATACTAGGAATTAAATAAATACTGCAAACATGATTTCTACTCCAAAATAAAAAGAATAATTAAGTAATCGAATTAGTTACTTTGATGCCTCAACCTTCTTGCTATCAAAACAATACACACGTTAGTAAACTTAATAAAAGTTAAATCAATAAAGTAAATAAATCAAATATGAATTGAAATATACATTTGGGACCAAACCCTCAGAACTATCAACCTTTCACGTCGAGGTCGAAGGCGACGTCGAGTATGGTTTGGATTATTCGAATCTGGCAAAGGAAGTATGGTGTTTGATTAGGATGTATCAAGGCTGTGTTTAGGTTAAGGCTAAGAACATGGGTGTTTAAGAACTTCGAGGATTATGATGATGGTTATAGCTTAGGATTATGATGGTTGTTGTTGATTGGAAAACGGGGAAAACGACATCTATTTATAGGAAAAAAAAGTATGGACAATAAAAAAAGATCAGAAGTTCCAAATAAAATAGAACTGCTCTATCGCGTGACGATCAGAAAATATCAGAAGTTCCAAATAAAAAATAGTCTCTCCATTGCGGCGCGATGAAGCTAACATGTCTCGTTGGTTTCTAATGGAATAAGACTTGTGAAATAAATCCAGACACCTTTTAATTCGAACGGGATAAGGTCTATCATATGAGAAGTTTTACTCGGCTTCGAACTCTTTGATCTTTATTTTTTCGGGAAGGATAGATTAGAACCTTCTAGAGACTTCTAAAAGAGTCCTAATTGGTTTAGGATAAGGAATAGGATCATATGGGGCCTAAATAACATACTTGGAATCCACATAACCATTAGGTCATAGCTAAGGTGGACCTAGGCTCGGTTTAATATTTTGGTCATATATTTGTTTTAAGTCGGATTTGGGCTTATAATATATCGTTGGAAAGCTGCTTTCAAGCTCCATCCAACTAAACAATAATTGGGGTGATATTATGGATCAAAATAATCTGGTTGGACGTTTTTATGAGTTGGACATGAAATGAATGATTTTGTGGACACGAAATGAATGATTTTGGTTTAAGGACACGAAATGAATGATTTTGGATTAAAACATTTTATGTAATGTTTGGAATATGGTCAAGGCTTAAGGAAATTTTACGTTACTCTTCAACTCTTTACCGAACTCGTTAATCAAAGACGTGAAAGGTACTCATCAATGGGTTTGGTTTTTGGGGAGACACAATCAGGTGTCTACAAAAGCCCCCACTTTGACCGAGTTTGGAGAAATGTAAGTTTCAAAAATGCTTTTTTTTTTTATCAAAGTAAGTCGATCGGGATGAAGAATGATTCAGAACGTTCTACAATCCTATATCATCCTTTTTAACTCCGATACCTGCAGAAAGCGTTAGTTCTACAAATAAAGGATTTAAGGGGAAAGAAACACGTATCTGGGATTGCTGAATACACGTCTCTGGGTGACATCAATTTGGTTTGACAACCTGCACATTCTTAGGGAGCGTTGTTCAAGACCACTTCGCTTTGAGTTGTCTTCTCAAATTGGGTGACAACCTCCACATTCTCAGGGACTGCTGTCGACTAAAATGTGTTCTTGTGTCACTGAACACAAGAACTTTTAATGGAATGTCCACACGTCTTTCAATAAAAGAGCTTTTGAAATGATGTCCATGCTTCTTCGAACAAAAGAGCTTTGGAAGAGATGTCCATGCGTCTCCGATCAAAAGATCTTTGGAAGAGATGTCCACGCGTCTCTGAACAAAAGAGCTTTGGAAGAGATGTCCACGTGTCTCTGAATAAAAGAGGTTTGGAAGAGATGTACACGCGTCTTTGAACAAAAGATCTT